ACACACACACACACACACACACACACACACAGTATATATAATGGATCCTACTCCTTTCTGCCTGAAGGAGAATAGGAGAAGAACTGACCCAGGAAGGATCACCCATCTTATTTGCATAATGAGGCGGAAATGCACAAGGAAATGTAAATCCAGCCATCATTATTGTTTAATTATAGGAGCTGTGGGAGGGCAGAGGGAGGAATTATGATAATTTATGGCCCGCCAGTGGACTGGAAAGGCAGGGCTCTAGTGACATATAAACCTTTTGATCTCAACCAACCAAAAATCTTCTATTTCACCCAATAAAACTTTCATTAAAAAGCACACTCAATCACTGAAGAAGACCAGGAGGATTTGTGTGTCCAGGGAGAGTGATTTTAAAGAAAGATATGTGACAAATAAAATGAACACACCATGATTTTACATTTACAAAGTCAGTGTTTGATATTCTAAAATGAATCTATTCAGACTCATTACTGGGAGTTACCTGGTGCAGGAACAGACTCAGAGTCGGGTGTCGTACTGGTCGTGGGTTCAGTGCAGGCTGAGGTTTCACCTAAAAATTGACCAATTTAAAACACAACCCAGCGTTAAGCTAAAGGTAAAGCTAACATATAAACACATAACACACAAGTTTACAGCTGACTGTCATGGTGCTTTTTGTTATTGTTGCTTATATGTAGGTATACGCTTACGTATATACACATGTATGGATACATGCAGTTGAATCAGCATATTTTTGCTCATTTTATTCCTTTACTCTTTTATTCCCTTTATTTCTTTTAATATGTATTTGCACTGCTGTGGGAGTAGTAATCTTGTTATGCACATGTGTAATGACAATAAAGCTATTCTATTCTATTCTATTCTATTCTATTCTATAACTGACTTAAAAATAACAGTACTCACATTCAGCTTGTGCAGACTGGATAACAGGAGCGTCGGGTTGTGTCTGTTCTGTTGTCACATGGTTTTCATCCTCTGATTTCCTTTTTGTTCCAGACTTGGCTCTCGCTTTTCCACGCTTTACACCAGACTTTTCATTCCCAGGATCCTCTTTGCTGCCATCACAAACCTGCTGCTCTTTTGCATCTTTCCTTCCACTCCTACCTGCCTTTCGTTTACCCTTTGCTGAAGAGGTTTTGAAGCCTTTATCTACAAGTACTTTTGAGATTTCTGGTGTTTTAGGAGAGACGGGTTCAGCATCTAACCCTTGTGGCTCAGAGGAGCACAGGAGCAACGTCCGCTCTCGCTCCTTAGCAAAGCGCTGGAGTTTATCGCTGACATTTACATACCTGCCAAAAGATGCGAGAAGAGGAATAATTAGTTCAGAATAAGTCGACGGGATGACGTGCTGAGAAAAGAATTTAAGAAGTTTGTTCTCATGTTTGGACACAAACTTGTGGCTAATATATTTTGTAGTCCTCTGACGGCCCACGTCCTCCATAAATCCCTGCAGAGTCAAAGACACCAAACATAAAATGAAAGCCTGATTAAAACCAGCAACATGGTTGAATACTCCACGATCTTACCTTAACCACACCATCCCTGTAGAGCTTTCGCCACACCATACGTGATTCCAGGTGACCAATGTTCATTTTTAAAGAAATATCTCTCTGTGAGCATCCCTTTGTACCAGAGGACAATACTGCAATAGACAAGAATGTGGCTCTTACAGTAGCTGCCTCATTGTGCCTCAAAAGTCCCAGAAAACTTTAAACTTTATTGTTAAATGTTTAGAATAAAAAAAAAAATCTCTAACAGTTTCAGAGACGAATGAAGAGACATTAAAGGAAAAACAAAAAACAATATTTGAGACTTTGTGTCACAGGTTTTACTTTACCACCTATTTTATGTGGCCTGAACACGAGGGAATAAACAATTGAACCTAAATTCTAAATAATTTAAAATAGGCGTATTTAGGGATGGTAATAAACTCAAGTATTTTGTAAATAAGCAGCAGTACAATACTTCCATACATGAATGATAAAGATATATAGTAAAGCTTAGTCTGACCTGTCCTGTAGTATTATTTTTAAAAGTTCTATTTTGACATAGTTTTTGTTGAAAAAGTCTTGATAAAGTAGTTCAATTTTTGCTTGTTTCTTGAATACAAAAGTGGGAATCATTTAGGTACTAACCCTAACCCAACCTGAACGAATCTTTACTTGGTCTCAGGTTTTAGTTTCCCAACAGAAGGAAAGCAGAGATCAAACCTACTGATGTCATACGCCTGCAATTTCAGGTCCCTCTCCATGATGCGTCCCACTGAAGGGGCAGTTCTTCTCACTCCGCTGTAGTCTTCCTCATCTTCATCTTCATCCTCATCCTCTCCCTCTTCCTCTTCATCATTTCCAACGCTCTTCTTCACATACGGCTTTAGTAGTTTCACACAGCGCACCAGCACTTTGCTGCCTGGAACAAGACGTAAGGTTATTTTTATACAATTATAAAGCATGAACGTCTTCAAAAACTTTTACCTGACCAATAAATAAATAAATAAAATCATATATAATTAAAATGCACTGTTGTGCTTGGTAGCTGCTCTGTTTTGACTTTTATAGTGAGAATGAAATGTGTAGATTCAGGACACTAAAGTCCGATCTTTTCTGAGCATGTGCTGTTTTTTAAATGATGCTAAGTCAAACAGCAACTTCTCATCACAGCCTGCAGCAACCATTTACATGCATTTGTCAGCAGGTTTTCATCTGAGATCTCCTGAAATGTAGTGAAATWGTATTTTTGCTTACAACTTTCTGACAAGTAGGTTCTGGGTTTGACTCACAGCTAAGACCTTTCTGTGCGTTTGCTGGTTCTCCCAGTGCATAATGTCAACACCTTTGGACATTTGCCCGTATCATAACCATCAAAAAGCAAGTATTTTTACAAAAATAAATAAATAAATAAATAAATAAATAAATAAATAAATAAATAAATAAAAATCTTTAGTACAAACACGTGAGGGTGGTGTGTTGGCAACGTGAAAGACGGACCACAGGATGGAGATAATATCGCCTGTATCGCTGAGGAGCAGAGGAAAGGATCCTGGGGAGAGGAGGGAACTTTTTTCTAGCAGCAGAGCAGGTTKTAAGAAAGTTATTTCATTTTATTTGTTGTTTTGGGGTTTTTCCTTTACGTCGTACAGGCTCTGAGACGTAAAATAAATTTGAAGTTGAGTTTTTGAAAATAATCCACACACAGGGAAAATCTGTGTAATTTACAATCCGTACAAATTGACTTGTACACCAGTGTGTGACAGAGTTACTTCAGTTGTTTTCCACAGTCCAAAAAAATATTTAAATTATATTTATATTCCAATATTTAATTTTACATTAAAATTAAAATTGTGCAAAATTGGTTGTAAGTCTGAATGTGAGTGGCTGATTTTATCTATGTGAACACATGAAATACTGTGACCTCGGTGTRTGAGAAAGCCACCAGTTACCTCCAGCTGTATCATTTTATTTCCATAATGTTTTAATTTTGACTTCTAACTGTAATCAAACAAAGCCCATGGTTTGGCATGCTTAAAAGTAATGGTATCCTGATAAAAATATTGGTATCAGGCACGATACCAGCCTTTACTTCAACTCGTTCAAAATGCCCCAGTACCCAGAACTGATCCCAATTCTATGCATGGACGTTCACATTACATTTTAAATGGATCGTTAGCATGTCGATTCTGAGGTTGTTGTGCAATAAGAGCCAATTAAATAATTATCTGAYRTGCTTGTTCAGTYTCGTGTTTATATTTGAACCTGTTGCTGGTCGGCTGCTCTGGTGCAGTGTGTATTTATGGAATAAAGCGACATGCTTGAAGTATCGTTCAGTAACTTTAGCATCGATGTGGTTCTACAACGTTACAATCAAATGTTTCCGTGGATTCTCAGTCATCCGGGACATGGAAATTTAAAAGAAAAAAGACAAAGCAACTGGACTTCTGCAGCTGGAGAGGTGTGGAGCTACAAGGTTTAAACAGCATGACTCAAGGTTGTTATTGGATCAATTTCACCCCCAACTCACAGACGGACAAGTTCAGACTGCAGTCACTTTGAAAAACATCAGTTATGTATCTGATTCAGAACAGGTTTTAGATAAAAGAAACGTGTTTTTATAATCATTGTGTAATGTTTAASYTCTAACTCAGTAAGTGCTCGGTATTGGCGAGTGCCCAAACTGACGTACTCATGCTTTTTTGACAAAAACTGATATCAAGACACCCATAGTTAAAAATAATTGCTGCCTCAGTTACCATTTTTATTGGTGCAGGGTCCAGCACTGGGGTCCAAGTCCTCTAATGGGTACTGGCAAAACTCAATCAGCTTGGCAGATCGCATGTAGTGCAACAAACGCTTGAAGCAATTCTCATTCAGATTCTGCAAGAAGAACACAAAAGTAATTGCAAAAATAAATAAATAAATAAATAAAATAAAATAAAATAAGAATCATCACACACTGAAAGAAACTCACAAGATACAGTTTGAGAATGTCCACAGTCACAAACTGTTCAGGTGACTGCTGGAGGAAGTTGGACACACACTCCATCAGAATGTCATACTTGGACCGTCTGAAAGAGCAGAAAGACAAACAACATTGATGTGAAGATTTAAAGATATGAGCGTCACTCAACTATGTGAAATGAAACAAAACAGCGGCTAAAGGAAAACAATAAATAATGAAGTTTTCTCTGTAGTTCTTTATCTAGATTGAAAGTTTACTAATCTGTTGTGCTCTTTGTAGTACAGTGACTAAACCCTCAGTTATTATTTTAAAAAGTGATTGGAGAATCAAAACTATGAACACAGGCTAGTTTGTTAATTTTGTCAGATTAAAAAAAAACAATAAGAYATCAGCATTGACAATGGGAAGAAGATAAATTAAATAAACCTGTTAACATGGAAGCGTTTGAGCAGGAGAAGAATGGAGTGCTGCATCTGTCCGGACTTGATTCGTCCGGCGTAAGACTGCATAGTGATCAGATCATGCTTCACCAGAGACTTCCTTAAGTAGTGAAATTTTCGAGCATCTGCTCTGCTCAGGAAAAACAAATAAACAAAAAAACAAAAACTATTAAATCCTATGACCTATTATCGTGTAGAGTTAACACAAAGCAGCGTAATGTTTTGAATGTCTCCTACTTAAAAAGGCCTCCGTGCAGGTCTCTTTGCATCTCTCCTTGCCAACGAGCTCGACCCACTCTTTCCAACACGCAGTAAGACTCACTGAGGAGCTTTAAGTCAGGATCGCTCTCGGTTCCGATCAAAGCACGAAATCGCAGAGCCTGAGAAGCCACGATGACRAGTTTTCGTCCATATCTGACAGAGTGAAAGTTAAAAAAATAAATAAAAAGAAATGTGAAACATCAGGAACATGACAAGGAACTAGTTTGTAAAATTCAGCTGATGAGCTACTTAAAGCTGGATCGATTATTAAACAGTCTTTACATTTTCAGAGCCTCGTCCAAGCTAATCAACGGGGTGAGGGACTTGGAGCGGATCTGCTTTGTGATGTCCTTCCTCTCTTTGAGGGTGGCACAGGAGCCTTGTAACCCATCCTTGTTCTCAGGAATGATATGAACTGGATAAATGTCTCTGCATCCATCAGAAGTCTTGTCTATTGTTTCAGTCCCAGTATCTTGGTCGAAGGCTTTAAACCTTTAAGGCACACAAATACACCAAAAAGTATGACATAATTAAAATCTACAGACACATGCAGATAATTTTGTGCAGAAACTTGTATTTTATGCTACTGTACTGCAATTCTGGAAAGTATGCTAACGATAGTAAATAAAAAAGGACAGTAAATAAAAATGTATAACATTTGAAGTAAAACCCAATTTGAAACACCTAAACAATCCTAAAATTGTATTTTGTTGTCTACAAAACATAAAGAGTTGATCTCTTGCGATGGAGAACTCACTATCTTTGGATGTGGGGGAAAGAAAGTGAAATAAATTAGAATATGACTTGACATTAGGGTAAATACTTCTCTATACAGTAAATGCAGCTTTGACATAAAGTAGAACCATTGGGAACTTTAAAAGTTATTGCATTACAGACACGTTTTGACTAGGTAAAGAGTAAATAACAAAGTAGTCTTATTGAGTGTTGACTTAGTGGTTTGTAAAYAATTTAATTTGACCCTATCAACATCTCGTCACCTGTCAAACAGCTCGACGTCTTCTCTCTCCTGTGGAAGCTCGTAGAACCTGAAGTCGGTGTTGTTGACCAGACACCTCCAGATGAACCCCTTGGTGCTGTCGTCGAGCTTCAGGGGGAACGCTGGCYGTGTATTCTCAAGTCGTATCCAAAGAGTGGGGATGGTAATCCCGTCCAGTCCCTCCAACGCCACCTCATCCACAATGATGCTCTGCGAATCCATGCCTGAGCTAACGCTGCTAGCTAGCTAACACGCTAACTTAGACATACCTCTAAAAACGAGCTCTTCGTGTCCATATAGCTGAGACACACGTTATTGAAGACAAGTACATCAAACCATGATGGTTCACAAAACGTTATCACTTATACTGCGACGCACAACGGCTTCGTTCCTTGTCGTATTTGTGTGTTTATGTATCAAACTTACGTCATGCGATAGTTTGATACGGAAAGCCAAAAGGGACAAACCTGGGGGATTGCGTTTTCTGAAAAGCCTGTAGCCAGTCTTCACCTCAAGCACGTCAACATATTTACTAAAAGCGTGGCTTACCAACTTTAAATTATTTTTAAAAGTAACTGCATTATATTGGCATGGATATTTACCCTAGATTTATCACTAGTTAAAAAATATTTTTTCATACTGTTTTGTTACGTAAAGATTATTTGAATTTATTTGATGGAGAAAATGCAGATATAATTTTTTTTATCTGCCTTTCATTTCATTTTATTAGTCATTTGAATATTTTAATCGTATATAAAATTTGCTGTTTTAATGAATTAATAAATAAATAATATCTTATAGGCTTATATTCTGTGACTAAACCTGCTGCTTAACATTTATGTACTTGTCATGGTAAAAGGTGGTATAGAGATCTTCAGATGATCAGGTCCTGTAGCTTAAATTTGTGGTASGACAGCTGAAATCATAATTTGTAAAGACCTGTGTTAATTTAAAAATAACCTTAGCAGCTTTAAAAAAGTTGTTAAAATGACAACTAAAAAGGACAGGGAAATGTTTTACCTCTACATAGATTAAAAGTATCTTCTGTTAAAAATGTATCTGCTATGTAGAACAAAATAACATTTCGCTGTATTTCATAAACTTTCTGAATTATTTTTATCTATAAATACAGCTGTCACATAAATATTGTAAAGATAACTTCTAACAATTCAAAAACAAAATGAACGTGTAAGAACTTTAATGTGTAAACTATTATTTTTAGATGAAAAACAGCACACAAAAGCTTATTTATCTTCTTTATTATGAAGTACCTTTTTAAAAGAAATGTACAAGTGGAACCAGCACAGTGACATCTTGGCACTGAAAAACAGAAACACCATGAACATGTGGTGCAGATCTGAAGACACGTATGAAATGATAATGTACATATTTACAGCACAGGGTTGATCCAAACAGAAGTGAGAAGAAAAGCATGACTGCAGCTAAAAAACAAAAACAAAAAAACAACAGGAGTGACTGAAATCTAAACTTGCTCTAAAACACGAATTGGTTCAATAAAACATACGGTGATAGATAACATGATAAAAGGCACTGTGTTTCACACAAAATCAGCAACACAACAGATAAAGTTGTTCTCTTTAAATCAAGACTCAAACAGCTTTTGACAAATGTTGTCATCCAGCTGTCCTTAGCTGTTCCTAAAATAGACAGGTTATCAAAGGTCTAAAGCAGTTTGAGCAGAAACAATAAGCAGATAATTCAACTCATCCAGAAAACATTCTTCAAAGAACATGCGCAGTGATTATTGTTTTCTTAATAAACAAATACATATATAAATTTTATACTGAAGGCATAATGGGCTGTAAGGATGATTTTGCACTTTCTTTGCTGGGACAAAGTTAGGACAATTTATATTCGACATTCCTGCAAGAATCACTTTGTTCGATGAACACATTCAATTAACTACCAGCATGGATTTCACTATTATTCAGGCCATATTCTGACATAAAACCTAAACCAAATAAACAGACATAATAAGATCAATTGAGTTTAACTCCTTTCAGGATATGGGCAAAAGGAAAATGATATACATTCAGCTTACACAGCTGGTGTGTTTCAGTGCAGCAGCAGCTGCGCTAAGTTTTGTTTTTCTGGCACAAAGACCTTACTGCAGTACGGTACAGATATTGGACATTTAAAGAACAAGTTTTAATTTTCTTTTTTTCAAAAATATGCTTTTCGTTTGATTGAAGAAAGTTAGATATCATGATTTCATATCAATCTGTACAATAAATATGAAGTCACAGTCTACAGGAAATTTAAACTGTAGTCAGCTGTGTACATTCAATAAATCTGCCCACTAACACTTTTAAGTTTTTCCTTATAAACACACATCTAAAGCAGGGTTTAATGATATATTTCTTTAAAGGAGAAATTTTTTTTAGCTCCGACTTCCCAGAAACATGTATTTTGTTTGTTGCTTTTTGGTTAATTTGTGTGGATCGGGGTCTCCAACCAGTAGCTCGTGGGGTCTTTTAAAGTAGCTCTTCAGTGCTTATGAAAAATTAGGAGAAGCAAAATTTAATTTGTCACTGGCTAAACAATCTTTCATTTATTTCCAATCAATCTATATCCCTTCCTCGTTTGTCAATCAAACAGTTTAGGGCTCAGTATGGTTGATCGTCAGACAACGCGTGGTTACGTGGTTCGGCGTTCGTTTTCACACACACCTTTCATGGCCCTTTGAGAGACACTGGCCTCCCGTTTCGGACCAGTGCTAAACTMCTGGGAAACCCCACCCGCTGTGGTAAATGAGACCCGTCACCTGACTTGTGCACAAATCTGTTGCAGTTAAACCCTAAGTTATTAGTGTGAAATACAATAAAATTTGAATGGATAAATACAAAAAGCAAGGTGGTTCCATGTGAATTGAAGACCAAGTTTTTTTGTGTGCAAAACAAGCTTATTCCAATCATTTAAGTTTAAAATTAAATGTTGCAAAAAGTTGCTCTCGGACAATTTCATTTTGTGAAAGTAGCTCTTAAGGAAAAAAAGTTTGGAGACCCCTGGTGTAGATTCTCAGGCAAACTGAGCCAATTTTAATGACACAAGGCTTTAGTAAACTGTGGTGGTGGTATGTACACAGGCCTCATCAATCCTCATTAAAACGCTACAAGTCAAATCCAATAACCATTTAAAGCAAACCCAGTGATTCTGATCCACATAAATGTCTAAACGTTTGCATGTTTTTCATTTTTTTTCCTGTAAAGTGGCAGCTTGCTGGCTTCTGCTTCATGTGTCCTCAAATCTATCTTTTAAGATATTAAAACTGAAACAATGTCACAGCAGTATGTTTTGGGTCTGTGAACCTGCAGCAGTTATTTTCAGCTCATGACGGGGGGAAAAAAAACAACTAAAATTCACACTTGAGGACTGCATGTAGGCATTGATGAGACATTAACGTTCTTTGGCTGAGTTTAGGCATATGAGACGGACGCAGACTCGCACACATCAACGTGCTTAAGAATGAGCTCTGAAGAGCGTGAGGCCACAGGCCAGGTGGGCTGGCACTSACACAAGCTCAGAGGTGAGGAAGCAGGCTTTAGACAAAGCAAAAAAATAAAAAATATATATGAGTTGAAGGCAATTTATGGTTTCTTGAGTGTTTGTTACCAGTGGTTGTCAGAGGCTGACTGAGAGCAGCCCAGAATATTGGGACCGTCTGGACTGTGCACGCTGACAACACATGCCTCATAAACCTCACATTCAAAGAGACTCCTAAAACGACCATTTGCAGGTTTACATGAGAGGATTAGACCAGGTATGAATTTAGAGGTTGTTTTATAGTATCCTGAAGGTGAGGAAAGTAAAAAATAAAAAGTCAGCCTCAAAAATCCTTAAAAAAAAAGAGAGAAACCTCGATTCACAGGTCAACCATCCAGAAGTGGGTTAATAAGATTTTTTAAAAAAAGAGAGAAAGAACCGCTGCTTAGACGTGACTAAGGAGCTACTTTCATAAACACAGACAATAATACAATATTAAACTGAGATATGACAAAATTAAGCTGCTGTAATAAGTAATAGTACCTGCCTGGTATGTATACAAATAAAAAAAACAAGTAGCTAGAATACTTGTCTTATCAAAAATATGTAGCTTTGGTAAACAGGTTATGCAAACGACTGTAATCTTGAGTGTGTTATTGTGAGATCACCTTGTGACAGCTAGGAGAACAAGGTACTCTGTTTTGAGGCTATGAAGTCAACAAAATGAGAAACAGGCTGAATGTCCCACTGTCCTCGCCCTCCTCCCCTGTCCCCAGCTGATCAGGAATAGAGACAACAAAAGGCAGTTCGACTCCTGAAAGGAACAAAACTGCTTCTCTCACTGTCTCCAGCACCGATTGAAAAGTTTCTGTGGTAATGTAGCAGCATCGTAATGGTCTGCGGAGGACCGACTCCCTCCAGAGCAGAAGTGGAAGACTTACTTTATCCTCTCTTCTTCCGGGAGCAAGAGTCCCGGCCCTTCCCTCGTGTTTTTTTTTTCCTTCACTCCTTTCAGAAAGTCCACAATGAAGACATAACAGATGAAATATTTTGCACTCCTTCTCCGCTCCTGCATCATCTGGACCAGCATCTCCTCCTTTGTTTTATTCCAGGCGTCGACGCAGGCCTCCACTTCTCTAACCACCTTCCAAAACCTCGAGCTCCTTCTACGCAACACGGCCTCCCTTCTGTCACACATCACTCCATCCATTTTTCTACTTCTTTTACTTCCCGACGTCCGATTTCTGAACGTTTTTCTTCCCGTCTCCTCTCTTGACAATGATCTTTCCTACGTCCTGTCCTTGAATTTCAGTCGACCTTCTCCACTTTCCCAACAATCTTCTCCTCAAAGATGGGCAAGATGGCGTCGTCGTCACGGACCTCCTCGAACACGACACCACAGTCGAACTCAGTGCTCACTTTTTTAAAGTAGAACCTGCACGCACAGACGTTAAGAACAGAGTTATACATTTCTTTCTGAATAAGCGACTACATACGAAGTCTCAAAGTATTTTAAGCTTCCAGAACACATGTGACCCATCACATCGAAATGAGGATTAAGTCAAATTTGGTCAAAATGACTTGATCATAGACCATTCTTAAATCATTAGTAGATCCAGAGATATGATTTAATTTGTCTTGTTGGTTACAATAATACATAAACATTTGGTCTAAAT